TCACAGTTTGGAAAAGGGCAGCAATACCAGGAGCTTCCAGTAGAGAGCGCTCTGCCTCCACCAACGTCTGCATCATGCCTTCAGTTAGCTCTGGTCTCTTGTTGATCATACTGAATCCATTCCACATGTACATCATTTCCTGTAATGAAGCAGTTCATATTGTTGGGACGCTCTGGTAATCAACCATAGCAGTCGTTATATGTATTTATTTTATTTCGTAACTCTTACCAGCACTGGTACAGGTAACCTGACTGGGAGGGCAGCCTTGTAGCGTCTGGCTTTACGAATTGCAAACTTCTCCGTTGGAGGAGACTTCCCCGCTATCTTCTGCTTCAAGGTGGGCACTTGTCTAAAATGACAGGGGATACACAAAGACACACCAACGAATGATTCAGTTAGTAAGACGACACCTAAGTACACCATGTGACTGTTTGGCATCGTAGTGAGTGTAGGCTGTTACTCTGCTGTTCACCTCAGCTGTCAATATGTGTCCGTGTCTATTTATTGTAAAGCAGGCTGTAAGACTTCGTGAAAGGATAAGAATCGTTTGACCAGCGAAGCTCACTTCTTTCCAATGACTGCGATACGGAGGTGAGTTGCTGAGGCTACCACTATTAGCCGCTGTTAGCTGCTGTTAGTTAGCGTTAGTAGTGAAAATTTCTTTGACATGGATTTAACATTGTTGGACTTAGCAAATAAACTCTGTACGTAAACTCTGAATGTAATCTCTTTTTATCAGAGGGAAAGTTTGACTTTTAGGACCCTTGAGCCAATAATTAGCTGGCTTAATGTTAGCTTATAAGCGGCTAATATAATGTTAGCTAACGACAAGATGTTTTTGTGGTTTCGTCTGTGGTTTTGTTGTTAGCTGTCTGGAGAGTGCATGTCTATTTGCTGACAATAAGTAATTGCAACAATATTGGGAATAAATAAGAATGTCATTTCACGCTTTCCTTTGTTAAAGCCCTGACGTGAGATCAGGAGATGAGGCTTGAGGTAAGGAGGAAGAGGATGAGACTTTATTCAGATGCCAGTCATGTTGTCTCTTTCCTTTCTGTTTTTGCTTCTAGAAATGATCCCTCATAATAAATTTGCCTTCACAGCAAGAAACCTGTGAGTTCTTTTATCCTTTGCTACATATGTGGATGGTCTTTAACCACAGATGTAATTAAACACGATTAAGTGGAATAGCTATGTCCATCCAGGCCACTGTATTCAAGATGGCAGGGCAACATGTTGGCTTCCACAAACTGGTGCCTACTCAATCTGTAGGAAGACACTAATTAACATTTTCACTTCAAAGTTTGGTCTTCTCCATATTCTAAAGGAAAAATATCCTTCCCATTTAGCGGTAAAATGTACCACGGTGTTCATCCATGTGAAAAATGAAACCAATAACCAAAGTGCCTGAAACTGGTATTCTAACTGAAAGCGCCAGATGGCGATACCTGTGGTAGTATTACTTGTTGAAGAAATAAAATTCAGTTTTTAGGCATGTCACGTTTCAGAATGGAGGGTTATCTGTTGTACGAAACCACATGCTCATTGGTTAAGGACCTGTTATTCACAAACCAATGAATGTGACGCAGTGACCTACGTCCCTCTTTATTGTGTCTAGTTATTTTTTTGCAACCAAGATGGCGACGGCAGAAATGCTGGTCCCAACTGTTTAAAACAGAACAACAGAAATCAGAGGATGCCATCACAGTAGCTATGTTTTTTTAAAATATGGTCTGTATTGTAAGCAAAAAGCACAGAGACATTTACGTGAACTATACCGCTCACCTCACAGCATCTATACTGGTAAAGAGGAAGTAAGGATATAATCCCTGCTTACCTAAAGAGTTCTACCTCGTCCTCCCCAAAAGGCCTGGCCTCATCTTTAGGCAGCATACTGAGGTAAGCAGCTTTCATGTACACATACATGGCCTAACAGGGAGAACCATAAAGAAAGGATTCATGTATTAAATCCTCAAAATGTCTGACAATAAATTTTATTCTGATCTTCTCCCGTCATAATTTCTGTACCTTGGACCAACGACTCTCCTTGCTCAGCAGGTCGGCGTAGAAGTACGCCATCTTCCACGCACGCTTGTACGTGAAGCACCACATCAGCTCCCAGTAGCACATGTGGTGAAACTGCTTCCATGTCTGCTGGGCTGCTTCCATGTCTGCTGGGCCTTACAGCCGTCTTCAAAGAATTTCACTGCCTGAAAGCACAGAGAAATTAAACCGTAGAGCAGAAGAACACGGACAGTGACGAGGCATGTTGGACATTAAATATTAACACTGGGCGCTGGTTTCTTGGAGCTCATTTCCTTAAAAACATAGAAACACTGCCACAGCAAGTGACGTATCATACATGCTCCTCAGAAGTGCAATCAAGCAATGTTTTCGTGACACACCTCATCAATGTTCCCTTTGATTTCCTCAGTTCGACCAGCAAAGAAGAGGAATATGGCCCCCTAAAGAAAAGAGAGAAAAATGTACAAATCTAAACACTGTTAAATCTTCATCTATCTGGAAGCAGGCACATCATACAACAATCATTCTTGGCAGTGTTTGATCAAGAAACTTTCATCCGAGCGCTCAGTTTGTTCTCTGGGATGGGCTGTGAGTAAAAGGTGGAGCAGAGAGGATTGTGAATTTACAAGAATGTGCGTCACATGGAGTGGTAGCGATGGCAAGGATCGGCAAGGATCGTGCGAGTGGAAGTCTGAGACAGTATCGGGTCAAAGGAATCAAGGTGTGGATGGATGGCCACGTGAATGCAATCAACGACTGTGTGAAAACGATGGCGTGAACCCGTCAGAGACGATATACATTTATAAGCAATACAAAAAAACAGAAATGTTTGGCAATAATAAATGATTCTGTTTTGTCTTTTTGGCCAAAATTCCCATCTGTTATCATCGTTTGTTCTGACCACTATAAGGATCCTTCACTGTGTATGGAGCTGCAACTGGTCAAAGTTTAACCACATTACTCCACACGGTTTCTTTGTTGCTAAGTTCCACTCTTATCAGCTACTCTCGTGTGTGCAAATATGAGTTCAGCTAATGTCCCACCATCCATTTTCTTCTGCTTATCCAATTCAGAGTCAGAACTGGGACGGAGCCTATTCCAGTGGTCACAAGGAGGGAGACGGGGCACATTACGGATAGTTTGCCAACATAACGAGCTAACAGAGAGGGACAGACATCTATCCACACTCACATTCACAATAGAGACAATTTAGAGCCACCAGTTAACCTAAACAGTCTTTGGACTGTGGGAGAAAGCCTGAGTACCTGGAGACCTATGCCAACATTACACAGGAAGGCTGGCTGTTGGATTCAAATCCAGCTAACCACTATACTACTGTGCTGGCTTCAAATACTAAAAATAATGAGTTAAAAATTCCTACAGCCCTGTGTCCTGTTATGCCTGGCCAAATGTTAGAAACCCAAACACATTCAGTTAATGGGGAACTTAAAAAAAGGTCACATTTAGATTAAAAAACCAATTTGATCATCAGAAATGTGTTTATTAATCAGCCAGTTGTCACAGTGCTGACTACAATGCAGTCAGCCTCTGCCGTGTCATCAAAACTAAAACATTTAAACATCAAAACAGAAATGACACGTTAATAATGAACTCTAAACAACAGTATCGACGTTCCATAAGTTGGTGTATTTATTTAAAAAATAAAATCAGTCAAATCTGAAGCAGCAAACCAAAAGACTCCTCTCCAAATACTTACTCGTCATGTAAACATGGATGTATTTGAAGAGCAGCCAGTGCTACAAGTTACAAAACACACAATGGCACTGACAGGAGTGCAGGCACGCTAGTTTTCATTCTTTGTATTGATTAAACAAGAGATTTTATTTCCATGGGACTCACAACATGGAAGGAAAACTGGAAGCTATATTCTGCTGCCTAATGTAGCACAGCGTATGACTATGACAGCCTTGAACTGAGCTGCTCTGGGCTGCAAAAGACATT